ATATACTATCCTGGTACCGGAACGTGGCACCCGATCCATATTCTATCCTGGTGTCGGAACGTGACACTCCGATCCTCATATACTATCCTAGTACCAGAATGTGGCACCCGATCCCCTAATCTCACTACTTTCATTCATCAAGCCTTCTTTTATACCAAGGCATCATCATTAACAAAGTAGATTAGGGTTTATTTTCAAGATTTGGGATTCAATAGCTTCATCATGCTTATTTATTCATAATTACATAATCACATCATTCATGCAAGCATACAATTAAGCATATAGAAGGTTCACAATACTACTAACACATATCATTCGCTATTAAGAGTTACTACGAATAGCATGAAAACCTTAACCTACCTCCACCGAAGATTCGTGATCAAGCAAGCAATTTCCCAAGCTTTGTGTTTTTCCTCTCGTTCGATCCTCTCTCTCGTTCATCTTTGTCTCTCTTTCTCTTGTTCTTTCTATTTTCTTTATTCAAACCCTCTTTCTTTTACCCTAATTAGTATATAATTAAGAATAAAAGATGGCAATAATAACCCACTAATTAACTTAAGGTTACCTCTTTTAACCCCCAAGTAATTAGACTTATTAACATTAACCCACTAACTTTATAATTAAAGCAAGAATAGTCAAAAACGCCCCTTAAAACGTAGAAAGAAATCCGACCCAGACTGGGATTACGCAGTCTGTGACGGCCCGTCGCGCCTGCGACGGTCCGCCCTGCTGCTCTGTCACAGACTTCAGAGACTCAATTTCTCTGAAGGGTCTGTGACGGTCCGTCACACCTGTGACGGTCCGTCACACCTGTGACGGTCCGTCCTGCCATTTCGTTACGAAGTTCAGAGAGTCGATTTTCAGTACTCAATTTCAGATTTTCTAAGTGTTTTGAAACGAGACCCTGCGACAGTCCGTCGTGCCCATGACGGTCCGTCGTGGGGTCCGTCGCTTCTGCCAGTTTTTCCAGAATTGAAGTCTGCTGCTCAAAACGACTAAACAGGTCGTTACATTTTTATCTCATTTTAGAAATTTCAAATAAATTAAAAGTCTCTAAATATGATTCTACTAATAAACTTATTTTTAGTGATTACTATTATTTTGAACAATATATACTTTTTTTTCTTATATATTATAGGAGAGAAATCTATTAAGAGAAAAATTAATTAAAAACAAATTTAAAAAGGGACATAAAATTAAAAAATTAATCAAAAGGAGCAGAAAAAAATAAAATTGTCAAAAAAATTAGTCTTGCAGGTGTTTTAAAATAAAGTAAAATAGTTAATTTTTTGTTGATAAAATTCTCAAAATTGTGAAACAACTTTCTAGCCTATAAATAATTTCTGTATATAAATAATATAATAAATAACACAACGCTAAAATTATATATTTTTATCATATCATTGTTATGTGATTGTGAGGTACGAAATTGTAAGAGGAATAATTTGATTCTTATCTATATAACATGTTTGTATTTAATATTTAGTATTTTATTTACTTTATATTGATATGTGATATATCACTTTTTTATTACTTATATTTAATATTTATTTGTATAACATTTTTATTATTAGTGAGGAGAATAATATTGTTAGACGAAATTGAAAATAAGATATGTTGGCATTTTTTTCAATTAACTAATTAAGCTGATAATGAACCAATTAGCTCTTATTGCATTGCAGGTTTAATCGGAGAACTACAAACAATCCTTACAATAATAACAACAAAAAGACGTAAAATTATAGTTAACTAATTAAGCAAAAATATTAAAAATATTTAGTTATATATTATTTGAAGAGGAAAGAAGGATCATGTTCTCAACATAACATAATTCACTTCTTCAAAATTTACAAAGTGAATAAAAACAATCAGTGTCTTTAGAAACTACAAGAATAAGAAAAAAAAAATCTCAAAAACTACAAAGAGAAGCAAACGAGAAAATGAACAAATTATTTTTTCTATAAAAAAAATCATGATTTGTATCATCAACAATTCAAACTAATAATATCAAATGTATAATTATAATAGAACAAAAGTGATAAGGATAATTAGGCATGTCAAATTATTTTACCTCACGAAATCAAACTATGCAAAATATCTAACATTTTCCATTATATATCCCTCTTGTGCAAAAATCAGATCAAAGAAGACAAAAAAATTTAAAAAATCAAAGAAACAAAGATAAAGAATAAGGAAAATAAAAATAAAAATGTCCATCATACATGTCTCAAAGTGAGGTTTTATAGGTGTAACATTTAGGAGTTATAGTTTTTCATATTAAGTAATTTGAAGGTTATGATTATGAAAGGTTAGGAGTTATATATATATTATTTAATTAAAAGGTTAGGAGTTATATATATTATTAAAAGGTTAGGAGGTGTAATGCTCATTAAGTAACTTATTACTAGCAATATATATACAGACATAATATTATTGTGTAAAGTATTTAAAAAACCCTAATATGTTATTTTAAAAATAAATATTTTTCTGATCATTGAGACATGTCACATAGGCGAAATGAAGATCGATATTTATATTAATATATAGATTGATTGAGATGACAGTTGGGAGGCATCAAATTGTTGTACAAAAAGCAAGATAATTTGTACTACAAATAGTAGGGTTAAAGTAGTAACTACATCTACTTGGTACTTTTTCTAAAGTGTGTAACGTGTAGTGCTTTCTGTACACGCGTTTTATGTCCAAAGAAAATGAAATGTCCCAATGCATATTGAATTTTTACATTAATAGAAAATAATGTATTTTTCTCGGCTAAAGAGAGTGTATTGATTATATATATCTGTTGTTGCAAAATCAAAATTCAAAAGATGAATTTTGAGCTAGAAAATTCAAATCTCTATGCAAGATTGAATTTATGTGCTCAATAGATGATCTCGAATCAAGTAACGATATGCATGTACATTTCTTCTTATTTAATTTAATTATTTTCTTTTCTGCATAATTAAGTTATTTCACAAGTGCAAAATTACTTATCCAAGGTGTTTTGCACATTTGGCTCAGCTGTTATATATATATATATATATATATATATATATATATTGTTTTTTAGTAAGTGTTTTGCAACATATATAACTGCTATGTTAATTTGTGTTTATGACTGCTAACTTTGCTTAGTCTTGATTTCTGATATTTCTTATTACAGATTGTAACTTTGACGTATAAATGCTGTTTGTGACTGCTATTTTACTTTAATCTTGGACTTCTTTCTTTTTTTAAGTAATAAATACCCATTTCAGGTAACTCTCAAAAGAACAAAACAATCTTTTTTCCGTTTAGCTTGTTATTGCAGTGTATGTCTTGTTGTATTTTGTTTTTTAAGAAAGAGCTTACGAATAAAAAATCGTGGCTTTCTATGTATTACCAGGCTCATTTGTCTAGAAAGTTGGCTATGTCGCACATGGTCTATGTAATGATCCGAAATGTAATTTTTAGAAATTTGAACTATTCGATAACTATGAATGTTTAGTTAGTGAATATTTATTAAATAATTGAAGTTTATTAGTTAGTGATTAATGGATCAAAGTCAATAATTTATTTAATATTAAAATAAGTAGGTAGAACTTATTTTAGAAAGGAAAAATAAAATAAAATAAGAGAATAGACAGAACTCGAAAGAATTTACCTACGGCGGAATTATAGTTTGAAGAGTAATTACGGGTGCTTCAGGTAAGAAATTGTTATAATCATTACCTTTCTAATACTTGGATAATTTTGTTTTGATTGGTAAATTGAGGCTAACATCCAAAGTAATTATGTAAAAATAAATAAATATATAAATAATTAGAAGATATGTTAAATGACAATGTTAGATTTGTTTAAGAGCTAGATACTATAGTTCGTTCATCGTACTTGTGATCACTTTTTTCTAATAAATTATAGTACATTCCTTATTAAATGGGTTAAAGCTATGATCTGGAAATCCCCATGCTTAACGTCTGTATGTTTTCAATACAATGGTCAAACAATTTGCTCATATAATTTTTGTACGTGTTATGAATTCGGGGTCTTCGATATGAGTAAAATAGTTTTAATAAAATTTTCAGTTATGTCCTTGTGGGCATAGGTTCAACCTTGAAGTGAACCTAGGGATCATAATAGTGGGTGTTGTTAATTTTAAAATCTTATTGTGGTAATTTATTTGAATAGATTGCTTTGAGTTGGGAGTTCAACGAAAGGGGAAGGATCAAGTTGTGGAGTAAATTCTGGATTGATGGAGGCAAATAAATTTCTAAACTCTTGTTAAGTGTATGAAATGCGTGTATTTTCCTTGTAGTATATGTTTGGGAGTAATGAGACTTGGTGATGGGTTGACTGTCTACATTGATTAATTATAATGATGAAAAATGTGTAACAAAAGGTAATGTGATTAATTGTTTACGTGTCATGTGTTGAGAAAGGTTTGAAGACTTGTTGAATCATCGTTGAGGTGATATCATATTTTTGTTACTGCGAATTGTGCAATGTTATGAACATGGACATCTCCTCATTATTTGTGTGAACATGTCATTTGCATTATGTTGAGACATGTTTGTGACCAGTGTTATGTGCATTGAGAAAGAATGAGAATTTAAAGAGGATGTACCATTTCGAGGGACGTATCGTGCACCGCGATGGATATTATATTTCGAGGGACGTATCGCACGCCTCAGTGGTTACTATTATCGAGTGTCGTGTCGTGTACCGTGACAGATGCATGGACAGATATGTCCCCCATGGGTCCCGGACTGAGAGACAGTGGGTGTGTGTCACTAACTCAGACATGCATCATTATACTTGACATTGCACTCCAATGCTTTGCACATACTTATCATTAGTGAATTTGATAGTGTATTTTGCTGATCTTGTGAATGCCTTAATGTGGAACGTGTGACTGATAAATACTGAGCTTCTTGTTGATGATATAATGTAATTTGTCAAAGTGTTGTTATTGAGGATATGTAATTTGTCAAAATGTTGTTGAGGATAGAATTTGTCAAAGTGTTGTTGTTGAGGATATGTAACTTGTCTAGGTGTTGTTGATGAGCTATGTGCTATGTAAACTGTGAGCTGTTAGGTTGGACTGATTTTTATGCAGGTTGTAGTTTTGGAGGTTCGGTTGGGGTGGTAGGAGTACCCGTATTTCATCCCCTTAACTTGTGTTTAGAGGTTTACTTGTTGAGTACTGTTTGGTTTTGTAATGACCCCTTGCTTCTTCAATATTTTGTAGGTTATTAGCCCGAACCTTTGAGATGTATTCTCTTCTTTTCCTAGGCTTCTTGGAGATTTGTGAGGTCTCTGTTTGTCAGCAGCCTTTCTTACTCTTGTTTATGATTTTGTTCTATTCTAGAAACAATGTCATATAAGACTTATATTTTCTTTTGATTTAATTGGAATACTTTAGAGGCTTATACACGTGATAACCAGATTTTTGGTTATAATTTAAGTTATAAATTTTTCGCATTTTATTGTATTAGTTGTGTTTTAGACTGACTTGTTTTGGTGATATATAACGAGTGTTATCACGTCCATTTTTGGATCGTGACAGTCTAGCTCTTTCACAGCATCGCGGTACAATCTAAGCAACAAGGGAACCTCTTTACTACAACTAGATAGATGCGCATCATAAACTTTGGTTGAATTTCATTTGTCAATTTTAGGGATGGAAATTCAATGAAGAAGGAGACACATAACGTTGAATTGTGTCGGTGGAGCATACAAATTGGTACTCACAAATTTTCTTTCTCAATTTTACTTGTAGTCATTATGATTTTTCTTACACCACTAGCTTTGTTAATTTACTTGAACATAGTCTATTTGCTGAAGAAATTCCTATTGTTTATGCTTCCCTTTGATTAATGATTTTCACTAAATATGAGTTTGTTAAGAAAAGCAGTGACTCGATTCTAATGGAGAGGAAGGAGACCATTGGATAAGGTTAATTAGTTCCTCAACTTTTTGAATTTCATTCGTAAATATTTTCAATTTGTTAGATGACGATGAAATATATATCCTTCACTTTTATAATGAGGTCTAAATCTCAAAACTAAAAGATATATTTGTCCCTTTCTTGTTCCTACTATATTGACTAACTGGTCATACAATTGAAAAAAAATCCTTGGAAGAAAAAGAAACAATGACATTTTCTCCTTGCACATATATATATATATATATATATATATATATATATATATTATTGATTGGTGTTGGTTTGTTTTGTTGAAGTTAACATTAAAATTTTTGTATGTTATTGTGTTTGGATAGCAAAGGCTAACACCTTGGTGTACAAAACTTTTGCTCGTGTCAATACTATTATCAAGAAAATATACTCTTCTTCAAGTGTCTAAGAAATTCTAATGATATGATCAATTTCATTGTTAATTCATCCTTCTTAATTTTTTTACTTCAAATTTCAAGCTTTGCAAGTACTAAAATGGTTGAAGAAACACATAAAAAAATGACTTATATTTTTGACATTTTATTATGAGCAATCTCGATGACATTCATATAAATAGAAAATATGTGTTGATCCTTATTTCTGGAGCGTGTTTGTGAATTCAATAAAATTGTAGCCTCACTTTGTCATTTGGCCAGTATATTTTCAATTTTGTGGTTTCACATTAATACGGAAGATTATCTACATGTTATATCTCTAAATAATTTTCTGCTGCAAAATAGATATTAGCGTTAACTTTCTAATGGGGTTTATATGTATCATTTACATGGTATGGAGCAACAAAGGAGGATTTGAGAGGATAGAGTGTACGAAAACGTTACCTCTACCTCAAGTAGGGTAGGAGACGCGGGTTGAGAAATGTTGTTTCCAACTACATGGTATGAAGATACAAAGTTTTAAGATTTTAATTATCTCCACATTTTTGTGAACATTCTAACTTCTCTTTTTGCTTTATTATTTTATATTTTGTGCAATATGTACTTATAACCCTTACATATAGAGTGTCCATTACGATATATATACTAATGTAAGGGGAGGAGCAAAACAACACAAGTAGGATACAACACCTACAAGGATCGACTTCAAGACAATCAACCAATTATACTTCACCCAACTTACCAAAAGAAATTCACCACTAAATTAACCAAGCTCAAATCAGCAACATATCAAAAAAAATCACAAGCAAATATGAATAATAAATATGCAAGTGACACACGAGATTTATACATGGAAAACCCCTTCGGTGTGAAGGATAAAAACCACGGGACTTGTAGGAGTCCACCCTTCTTCTTCTCTTATTATGCAAATTGAGGGTAAAGACACCTAAATCAGTCTACAAGGATGTCACAGCCCACCAACAACAACATACAGAAGAGCCAACACAAAAGAGAAGAGAAATTGGGAAATATCACCCAAAAAATGCAGGTTACACCAGCTGCAATAACAGACGATCAAGAGCTCCGATTGACGATCTGAACCATCAAGATGTAGTGCTATATGTTGTGAACCAACTGTGAAAATTTCAGAACGATCCAACGGTCGGATCTCCGGAAAACTGAAATTTTGTCAAGGCTGTCCAGAAAATCTGCACTCAAACCCTCTCTCAAAAATCTGCTTCTCTCTCTCTATCACACACCCTCTCAATTTCTTCTTTTCTTCACGTCAAAAAACCCCAGAAGAAAACAGCAGCTCCCAAAGACTTCTAGAAGAAGTCAAGAAAGCCCAAAACATATGGGCTACACATCAATAAGTGATTGGGCTTTCACTTAAAAAAAAATAACAAATGGGCTGGATCCTTAACAATCTCCCCCTCCAGCCCAGTTCGGGGAGACCAAACATAAAAGGTCATCAAGAAGACATACCCGCAAGCTTGGAACAAAATTCAAGCTTGCTTCCAGGGGCCACCTTTGTCAACATATCAGCACCATTCTTGTTGGTGTGAATCTTCTTCAACTTCATTAGTCACTCTTCAATGACAACACGCAACCAATGATATCTCACATCAATATGCTTTGTGCGAGCATGGTACATGCTGTTTTTGCTCAAGTCCATAGAACTTTGACTATCACAAAATACAACATACTCACTTTGCTTCAAACCTAACTCTTGAAGGAAACGCTTTAACCAAAGCATTTCTTTGCTTGCTTCCACTGCTGCTATATATTCTGCCTCAGTTGTAGACAACGCTACACACTTCTGTAGCTTGGATTGCCATGAAATGTCTCCCCCTGCAAATTTGAACAAGTAACCCGAGGTAGACTTCTGGTTATCAAGATCTCCAGCCATGTCAGCATCCGTAAATCCCTCAAGAATAGGCTCACCACCTCCAAAACACAAAATCAGATTTGATATGCCTCGCAAATATCTTAAGATCCACTTTACAGCTTCCCAATGAACCTTGCTCGGATTTGCCAAATATCTGCTAACCAATCCAACAGCATGTGCTATATCCGGTCTTGTACACACCATGGCATACATCAATGAACCAACAACAGAGGAGTAAGAAATATGAGACATACTTTCCTTTTCTTTCTCGGTTGTAGG